TGAAGGTACTAAGGAAAGTGCAAAGTGGTAATTGTCATCTTCAGTCATCGTCTTGTTTGCTCTTTTTTCGTAATTTTCAAGTGAATGTAATATTTTTTCTTCGACCGGGTGTGTCCTTTTTTTGTCAATTTTAGAATTATACTTTTCTTTATAGATTAAAGTGGGCGTTTCAGGGTTATTTGTATCTAATTCGGATGAATATTCATTATCCAATGAACTGGTGGTTTGTCTGGGCAGTATTACATTTGTGAGAAATTGAAATTGTAACCTCTGTGTATAAACGTAAGGAGCTTTCCGATAAGCTCCAGCCCCTGACTTTCCTTTCCTTTGATGAATATCTCTTGAAAAGTTGTCTCGGATATTTTTCCACTTTTTATGCAATTCATTACCTGTAACAAAATAGAATTACGTACATTACGTTTTAATTAACTGCATTTTTTCATTTTAGATATTTGGCTACGGGCTGCTCTTTGGCCGAATTACATTATAATTTTCGTATTGGTATATCTACTGCTAGTAACATTATCCAAGAAGTATGCGAAGCAATATGGATTGAATTAGCAGACAAAGTTATACCGCAATGTTCAACAGAGAAATGGATAGAAATTGCTAAAGGGTTTCAAACATATGCACAGTTTCCCAACTATATAAGAGCAATAGACGGGAGACATATTCGGACTAAGCAGCCACCCAATAGTGGGTCTATGTACTACAATTATAAACAGTAATATTCTACGGTACTGTTTGCGATGTGCGATGCCAATTATTGCTTCACGTATATTGAAGTGGGATCAAGTGATGCTGGCATATTCAGAAATTCTAAACTTTATGAACGATTAGTTGATGGTACATTGGCAATCCCTGCACCATGTGCTATTGACGATACGAATGAAAAATATCCTTTCATAATAGTTGGCGATGAAGCATTCCCCTTATCCGAAAATTTGCTTAGGCCTTTTGGAGTTAACAACTGACACCTTTAAAAGAAACTTTCAATGCTAGATTAACACGAGCCAGAAGATATATCGAATGCTGTTTTGGTATTCTAGCCAACAAATGGCGTATATTTCATCGACCTATTGACCTCGATATTGATGTAACTGTAACTGGAGTTAAAGCTGCTTGTGTGTTACATAATTTTATAAGGACAAGGGATGGCACTCGGTCGAATGACGAGAAGTTAGATGAAAATATCAGTCTTGAAGGTCTAGCACCAGATACAACCCACAGAGGAAATCCATTAGCTTTATCTGCTAGAGATAAATACGCTCAATATTTTGTAAAACAAACAACCGTTTAAATAATAAAGATAGCCAATAAAAAATGTGTTCTTATTATAAGCAATTATTATACCTACCTAACTGCTTATTTTCGTCAATTGTGCTGTTTTCTTTTGCAAACAAATTTACTAGTTCCTCCCAACATTTTCTTCTCATAACCCTATCGCTGTATTCCTTTTTCCTCATATCCCAAAGTGGCGGTTGGTTCTCTACTTCGCTAATTAGCTTTTCAATATCAATTTTGTGTGCTTCCATTTTTATACAAAACGAGACAAGGCACGTACGTGTGTGAACAGAGTAATTTAATGACGCTGAAAGACTCAACGCGCCACTTGAATTAAACCGACTCGATTCCTCAGATCAACTACAAACCGAAGCTGTTTTAACCCTTAACTGGTGACGTGCCGTATGAGATACATGAACGGTGAGGTGCCGTCTGGCAGACTATTTTTTATATGAGGTTAAAAATTAAACAGAATTGAAAATTTTCATTATTTTTTTATTAAACATAATTAGTCCGGACGTTTTTGAATATAAACTCACAAAAATTAACAAAAAAAATACCCTAGAAAATCATGAACTAAAAAACATAATAAACATATTGCACAAAGAACTTAAAAAATATGACCATCGAACAAGGCTGCACAATCAAAAGAAAAAGACAACCAAAAGCGTTTTCCTTCTGAAGTTTTGTTGAAAATATATAAGGAAAATGTAAAAATATTTATGCATTACTTATTTTAAAAAAATATGCATTCCAGCAACTATAAATCTGTATTGTTTTTCAGAGCAATTTTTGCACATTGGATGGGTGCACTGTAAGCAAACGGGTCGTTTGCATTGCAAACAAAGGAACTTTGTCATTCTGTTTTTTTTTTCTTGGACATAAATAACAAAGTTTACGTTTTTATCAAACCAGTTCCTGCCTCTGAATAAGTTCCTCTTCTTCTGGTATTCCAATAATACGCCTAATTGAAGTTCGTATTTCACGGGGGATTCGAGGATTGACCATACGCCTTTTCATATATTCCTGCACGAGCTGCTTAGCCAACTGCATCCCAAAAATGCTCTTCTCTTTGATTATAGTGTTGTTTTTATAACATTGGTGAAGTGTATAAGCGTTTGTAACTGAGATATCGAGAACGCGGAAGAAAATTACTAACGGCCATCGGCGAGATCTTCGACTTGAAGAACTCTTCGAACATTTCTCGTCTAGTGAATCTACTCCGCTTTTATTCTCATTATAATACGAAATTATTTCGGGTTTTCCTGTGGAGGGATCAGAGAAAATCCTATCATGCATTGAAGATATCAAGACTGTGGCCTTCCCAATTTTTCCAACGTGACTTATCAATGTACATTCTTCTCGAAATCCATAAAGTGATGAGCCTTGACGTCTTTTCCTATTTGGCAAGAAAGTTGGTGGAATTCCAGCCTTATTTTTCTTCATGGTACCGACATAAGTGAGATTATTTTTTCGTAAGACGTCCACTAGCTGTATAGATGTGTACCAATTGTCGGCAGTAATATTACGATTGGTGCCGAAAATTGGACTGCTCAGGCGTAATACGGCTTGGGTAGGTTTTAATAATTTTTTATCTTCGGCAGGTAGTCCAAATCCATCAGAATCTTTTCCGCAATAAATGTACGCGTTATACAGGTAGCTATTTCTTGCATCAGTCAAACATTGAATTTTTATGCCGTACTTTGCCGGCTTATTAGGCATATAGATTTTGAAAGAACATCTGCCTCTGAAGCTGACAAGCATTTCATCTACTGTTGTAGACTGACCAAGTCCATATAAGCTTTGACAGTTTTCGATGAAGCTATTGAAAATAAAAGAAATTGCGGCAGTCGGATCGATTTTTTTACGCTCCTCTCTATCTTCAAAGTTGTCAAATCGAATCACCGCAAGGAGAACAGAAAATCTTTTTTTGCTCATCACTGCTCTGAACATTTCACGACCAGTCCCATCGGTGGCAAATATTCTGTCAATATTTTCATGATTGGAGTTGAATATAGCTGTATAAATTAAGAGGCCCAAAAATGCTTTCAGTTCAGTAATATCTGTCTCTCCAAGTTCACTTCTAGATATATCAGAATAACGTACACGTATTGCACATAGCTTTCTGTTAGTGCACTCCACAATCTCTTGCAACATGTTGTCCCCAAAAAGTAACTTCCAAACTGACAACGGATCAGCTGCCACACCAAGACTTTTAGCCCTTGCCTTCAAAGTAGGAACTTTTATGACAATATTATGTTTTCTCGTTTTTGATGAAGGGCGAACTTCTGACGTACACCACCTATAACGATTTTTTCCGTACACATAGGTTTTTTTACTGTCTGTATCCGAATCGTCTATATTTGGATCATCAGTGTTCACCTCAACTTCACTATCACCACCGTCACATGAAAGTTCCGAGTTTGACTCATGTTCGGACTCAATAACAAAGTTTTCAGGTACATCATCTATGTCACTTCCACTGTCAGACGCCTCATTAAACCACTTCAGAAGGGTTTCTTCATAATGGGGATCACCTAAACGGACACGTTTCGAGGGCCCGGCCATATTTTCGAAATTAACTATAACAAAACAACTAACACTAACCGTGACGTGCCGTCCGACAGACTGTGGTTCTAATAAACTCCGCAATAACCTGCAAGATACTGACGCGCCGCCACCACAAATTTGATGATCTGTTGTCGGCTAATAGGACGAGGAATAGGTGGGGGTATAATAATGTGGGCGGGACAAAATCCAAAATATAGACAAATATTACTGGCGTGTAGTCTGTCAAACGGCATGTCACCAGTTAAGGGTTAAAACCGCCGCATGAAACGAAACGCGTCGTACCGCTGTGTGTATTTTGTACTACGAATGATATGTTATACAGCATACGACTCGGGCACCAATTCGATAAACGCGTCGGTCAAAACAGCTCTGTTTGTCTTTACCCTAAGGGCAATTGGTTGATCCAGAGTCGGGGGACAATACATCAAAAAGCCATATATTTATCTCAAAAGGATAGTAACAATTAGAAATTTGTAGAAGTGGTTGAGGATTTTTTAATGAAATTTTTCTAGGGTGTTAAGCACCCAAAAGGCTGTTAAGTACCTTTGACTGATTTCAGATTTACCATTATGTGAGTTTTTCAGAGAAAAATAAAAGTAAATATAGACTGCTCAGCAAATCGGCGGTGTAGGGTATCATTATGAAGGAATTTTTATTCCCTACATTTTTGGACCACCCATATCAATAATAATTCATAGGCTATTTGACTAAACGCGAAAAAGTAGTTTTTCCAACTTTGACGTTTAATTATAAAAGAGTCAGCAATTTTTTTTAATACCCCCCTCTTAATATTCCCTCAATCATATTATTCCATTGTAAAACAGCTCATTACATTTTGTCTTTCAAATTCTATACATATATCCTTCATTAGTCAGAATAGTAACTAGATTCCAAGATCTAGGGAACTCTTCCTTCACTCCCACTCACATCTGATAAGTTGTCGGCAACGCTGATACTTGCGATTTAGGCGCAATTCCAAAATGTATTTTTGTCCCTTGTTCTAAGTTTTTGATTGATATAATTTGTACCTAATCATTATAAAGAATACATTAATTAATATGTATACCTTAGTCTAGCACACGCCATAGAGCCCATGAGCCCAGCCCAGTTTAAGAGTATGTACATGTGGAGTACATTTCAAAGATATGGAAAGTGGAAAGCGTCATGGAAACCTCGTACTGCCAGGTGACGTTTCAAATTTTATGGTGCGTTTCCATGCTTGCCAAGGCTTGACAAGCAACCACAAGGCACAAGCGTCCACAAACCTCGCTTGGCATTTGGAAGTCGTTTACACGCTTGTGAATGCGTCAGTGTGCTACGTACATCCAAGCATGGCGGACACCGAACTTGTATCGGCTATTACCTTTGGTTTAACCTACTTTTATTTTAAATATAAGCAAAGTAAAACAAAATCAAGGGAAGCCCGACGACCACGAAGATGGTGGATGATAAAGATTCATAGAAATCGTACCAGGTAACTAATAAGTTTTTCATTTTATTTATTTATTTTATACTTTATTGTACACTGTAGTTATTAGGATTTGCAAGGTACATGATATATAATTAACAGTGAAAAGTACAATGGGCGGCCTTATTGCTAAAAGCAATTTCTGCCAGGCAACCTTTTTACCTATGTCTATTATGTTATCCCACAATATATAATTATTATGTAGGTAGGTATATTAAAGTGCAATAAAGTATATAAATAAAAAATAAATTAACATAATAATTGCTTTAATTTGTTACAGCCAATTTATAGAAGATAAATTTAATGAACTTTCTGGAGAGTTCGATAATTTCTGCCGAATGAGTTATGCTGATTTTGAGTTTTTGCTGCAGAAAATTTTACCAATGATTTCCAAGCATGATACCGACTTCAGAGAAGCTATACCAGCTAAATTTCGTCTTGCCATAACGCTACGATCTTTAGCATCTGGTGATTCTTACAAAAGCCTACACTACTTGTTTAAAGTATCTGTCCCTATGATATCAAAAATCATTCGTGAAGTTTGCCAAGCTCTTAATGAAGTTTTAAAGGATCAAGTTAAAGTAAGTGGTAAAATAAAACAACTGTTATTATTTATTTATTCAGATTTTAATAAGAAATCTGTTGCATGTAATTAGTTGACTGGTATTTACTTATCATTTAATTATTAAGTAGCTTCAAATAAGAACTATCCCGATGACTGAAAATCTTCGAAAGTTTTCAGTAAAGCCTCGTTTATAATGTTGCGTTCCGGCGGCGCAGGCTGGATGATTTGATCCGATATGATATTAATAAGTTGCGAGGGTGCTTCTGAAGGAGATGGAGCAGTTGGACGTGATCGATGTTCAATTATTATGTTTGAGAAGGGCTCTGAATGAGAGGTTTGCATGGATGGAAAAAATCTTTGAGTGTTTGGACAGGTTCAGAATAAACGGTATTAACTGATGTTGGCCGACTCGGAATGTCTTGGAATTGAGTAGATGGCGTATGTTGTGCATATGTGGTGGCCATTGATGAAGGTCTAGAATAATATTGAGGGGATGGTGTATGACGTGCGTATGACCTTTGGTTGATTCTACTTATAAACAACCCGTCTATTTGGTACATAATAAGTTTTCGTTCATCATTTGGCAGTTCGCGTAGCTTTATAGCTAATAGCTTTGCGTATAAATCGCAATCATCGTCTTCGTGAGCTGGTCTACATTCAGTTCGCCTTTGTCTTATATCATTTGTTAGTTGTTCGAATGCTGTGGCCATTTGCTTTTCAGCCGTTTCACTAACAGGGCGACGACGTTTATTAGTAGATGTCGATGGTCGGGATGGTGTAGTGACCGTATCGGTATGGTCATCCTCTGTCTCGTCCGTTTCTTCATGTACAACATTTTGTTGTGATTGCTGCAAAAAATAACAATTATTAAGACATATTGTTACTTACAGTTCATTTCTTTTCTTTTTTTTACAGATGCCCACCACAGCAGAAGAATGGCTTAAAATAGAAAAAGGATTCAGGACCAAATTTCCACATTCCATAGGTTCATTGGATGGCAAGCATATAGTCATAGTGGAACAGAGTATTTCAATTACAAGAAAACTTTTAGCATTGTCCTTTTGGCATTAGTGGATAGCCAACATAAATTTATATTCGCAGACATAGGGAGTCAAGGAAGAATAAGTGACGGTGGAGTTTTTAACAATTCGTTATTATGGCAAAAAATCTCTAATAACGAGATAAATTTTCCCTCGCCATGTCCACTTCCAGGATCGAATATAAATCTGCCTTACATATTTTTAGCTGACGGTGCTTTTGCATTGAGTAAACATGTAATGAAGCCTTACCCTGGAAACCATGACGTCGGTTCACCAAAAAGATTATTTAACCAAAACTTATCCCGCTCCCGAGTTGTAGTAGAAATTACGTTTGGAATTTTAACTTCAGAATTTTTAGACGCCCTATGGACTTAGATCCACAAACTGTGTCGAAACTTACGATGACTTGTGTATTGCTACATAACTATTTGAGAACAAGTAAACGTTCCTCAAATCGATATACTCCTCAGGGATCGTTTGACTACTATTCGTCATTTATTGGTCTGGGCGGTCCGTAGGACCTTTGCCCATTAGTCACTGTCTGATGTACGTTAGTCGAATCTGTCAGTCCTGGTTGCCCAGAAACCAGACAAAGTCAAGGAAAAAGAGAAAGGGAAAGAGAAGAAAAAAGGAGAAGAACAAAGAAAACAGATATGCTTAGTTTAAGAGGAAACACCTAGGCTTTTTGACTTGGTACACGGATTAATTTTGAGGTGAACTAAACAAATTGTTGATACGGTTTTGTTAGAGTGTAATTTTGAGTTTACTAAAGATTCACGCTAACTTTTGATTACAGTGCGAGCCGTGGCCTTGAATGTTTACGAACTTGCTCCACTGTGTAGTCCACTGAGTCACGCAACAGAGGGTTGCTGTGCGATTCCGCTTGACTATAACGTCGCTGCGCCTGAAGCTTGACATAATCCCTCAAGTAAGGAATGTCAAGGTCTCTGTGTAGTGTCTCATTTGAGACATACCATGGAGCGTTGCAAATTGTCCGCAAAGTTCTGCTTTGCAGTACTTGAAGACTTTGCATGTGTGTCTTGGCAAGAAAACACCAAGCCGCACATGCATAAGTAATGGCTGGTCTAATAATCATTTTATATAGTCGAACTTTGTTTATCAAACTCAATTTGGAGGATCTACATAACAAAGGATATAGTTGCCGAAACGCACTTTGGAATTTTGTTTTTATGGATGCTGTATGTTTCTGCCAGGTCATGCCTTTATCAAGGGTGACACCGAGATACTTGGCAGAATTTATCCATGGTACACGATTTCCGTCTACAGAAACCTCTGCTGGGGGGCCGCGACGTTTTTTGGTACAATAAATAGCCTGCGTTTTCGAATGATTAATTTTTATCAGCCACCGTTCCGCCCACTCTAGAACTTCGTCCACCGCATTCTGCAACCCATTGTGAACCAGATCACCAGTACACGACTGGGCGACAAGTGCAGTGTCGTCAGCATAGAGGTAGACTTCACAGTTGCTGGGGGAAGGGACATCATGGATGAAAAGCGAATAAAGAATTGGTCCTAGGACCGAACCCTGAGGAACACCGGCCCGTACTGGCCGTGTTGTTGACAAAACATTGTTAATTTTGATCCGAAACTTCCTTCCTTCAAGAAAGGATTTCAGTAATTTTAGAAGCCAAAAAGGAAAACCCTTTTGGATTAGTTTATAGAGGAGGCCCGCGTGCCACACCTTGTCAAAGGCTTTTGAGACATCCAAAAGCAAGATGCCAGTACTCATGCTAAGGGTGAACCCTCTGGTTACATGCTCCACCAGCCTGACTGCCTGTAGCTCGGTGCTATGCTCGGACCGAAAACCGAATTGGACGTCAGGAATTACATGGTGATTTGACGAAAAATTCTCAAGGTGACGATAAATCACCTTTTCGGCGAGCTTAGAAGGAGCTGACAGCAGACTTATGGGACGGTAATCCCGAGGAAATATCGAACCCACCTTCTTTGAAATCATGATGACCTCAGCAGTCTTCCACCCAGCAGGGAAGTACTGGATTTTGAGCGTCGCATTGATTATTGTCACCAAGTATGTCAGGGCTTTCGACGAGAGCAGCTTCAACGCCTTGTTGGTGATTTGATCCTCCCCAGGTGCTTTACGCACCTTGAGGTCTCTAATATGACTTAGTAACTCCGCTGGTGTGCAATATGGAAACTCGGAGGGTTCCGCTAATGTGCTATGTGGAGCCTCAGACGAATCTTCTGAAGAAGAGTCATCTGAAGAGGATTCAGTGCCTCCGCTAACGCCGTTGGCCCTAAAATATCTCCTGACGGATCGTACGATGTGCTGTTCCTCGTCGAGGTCATTATCGAGATCATAGTTGGGAGAGAACTGTTTTTCCATGGCATCAGCGAAAACCTCGACCTTATCCTCCGTTCTGAAGACTATGCCTTCAGGACCGTGGATGTGTGGGAGTTGTTCTCGCTTTCCGTTTCTGAGTGACTTTGCGACCCTCCAGAGAGGAATACTTGAATCAAGCATTCCCGCCAGAAAGTCGCTCCATTCCTCATTGCGGAGTTCGTGCAGTGCGTTTCTCACTTCATGGACAAGATTTGTAGCCCTACGAATGTCATCAGGATGACAAGACCTTTTTGCCTGCTTAATAGCGGCTCTTTTGTCAGAGATTTTCTGACGAATGTCCGCAGGCAAAAAAGGTCTGCCGTGTCGTTGTACAGGAAATACAGCTGCACGCTGTAGAGCTGCTTGAATGAAACTTGTCCACTCCGCTTGAGCGGCATCTATTCCAGACTCATCATCTATAATCGGGATATTGGGAAACTCTCTACGGAGCAACTTGTATAGGTCCCAATCAATGCGTTTCCTTGGAGAAGCTGCCTCCTCAGAAGTTTGCTCATTGCCCACATCCAAGACAACAGGTAGATGGTCACTAGAGATATCATACAAGATTCGAGAAGAGATACTGTATCTACAGTTTTTAGATATCGCGAAATCGATGACATCTGGTGCCTGAAGATGGTTGAATGGATGATGTGTTGGCTCTTCAGTGCTATGTATAAGGTACCCATTTCGCATCACATGGTTGTACAATCGAACCCCACTAGTGGAATTCAACCTAGAATTCCATGCTCGATGTTTGCAGTTGAAGTCCCCTGCCACAATAAGCGGACCCGAGTAGTCCAAAAGGACCTCCAGATCCGCCTCTTGTAGCCTGGCACCACACCTGACATACACCGATGTGATCTTCAACGAGACACCTCCCGCCATATTGACCACCACAGAAGCTGCTTCGATGCTATGCATCTCCGCATTAGTGCTTCTATAATAGTCTATACCGCGTTTAATCAACACTGCTAAACCGCCGCCTCGACCATTCAATCTGTCACCTCGGAAAACATCATAATTCGGGAGAGCTAAACGATCTCCCGGATTAAGCAACGTTTCCTGCAGCAAGGCCACCTCTATACCTTCATCTAAAAGAGCTTGATGAAATTCCCGTTTTTTGGGAATATCCCTCATGTCCAAACAATTCCAAAAAAGAATTTTGATGAATGCAGGCTGTCTACTATTGTACCTAGACATTTACAAGAAATATCGCCTGCAACGCTTGGGTAGCGCTAATCAGTGGGCTTATTATTTGTTGTAAGGACCTTAGCGCGGTTGCCAGGTCCACATTTTGCGTGCTCAAGGGAGGTTGGGCAGAGGGGGCAGGCAAGGTTGCCTCCCGAGCTGCGTCCGCGTATGATATATTGCGCCTTTGCGCTATAACTTGCAAGTTCCTCCTTGGAGTGAACTTGCAAGTCCGGCTATTTGCGGGATGTCCCTCTCCACAGTTCGCGCACTTGCGTTCTTCCTCTTCTGTGAGGGGGCATAAATGCGTCATGTGGCCCTTTGCACATTTTAAGCATTTGGGCGGTGCAGTGCAATATGACTGCGCATGCCCATACTTTTGGCAGCGGTGACACTGCCCAATGAGTCTGGAGTTCTTCTGAACCTCAACTCGAATGGCCAGTCCCAGCAGTTCGTGTTCGTTGAACACTTGCTGAGACTTTTCAGTCTTGGGCAGTATCACGACCACCAAAGGCATGGGCGCGCCGCCACTGCGCTTCAATCGAATGATATGAAGAGGGTTATATCCCCTCTGCTCCAGTTGTCCCTTAATCTCAGTATCCGAAAAGTTGACGAGAACTCCTCGAACCACCGCATGGATGTTCCGTTCCGAAGGGAGAGGAAAAGTGTGATGAGGCACTTCTTCCTCTCGGAATAGGCGAACGATCTTACGGTAGTCGTCCTCGGATTTAGGAATAATCCTTATTCCCGCATCGACGGCAACCGCGCGATCTATTTTAATACCTAGGGAAATAAACTTGAAATTTAAAGTACGCCATCTCGACCCGTCGCGTAAGACGATCGGGGTTATGCGCCCTTGTCGTGAGGGTTGTGTTGATGCCACGACGGTTGGAGGAGATGACGGAGGAGAAGTAACATCGGCTGACGGAGTCACCTGACAGGTAGATAACGTGGTCCCTGGCTTGGTAATAGAAGCATTAATAGTGTTTCGATTTGATGATTTGGGGGAGGTGTGAAATGGAATTGATCCTGTATTCGGAAGAGGAGGAAAGTCTTGGGTTGATCGATCAGCCTTGTCGCCTTTCCTCCTTCTTTATTTTGCTTTTACAAATCCTTCAGTCTGTACGTCTTCGTCTGTGGATGTGAGATGATCATCAGAAACGTTTTTCAGTGGTCTTTTTAGGGTATTTGTCCGTTCTTTAGGGGATTCTTTTGAATTTAGTAATATGGTTACCTGGGCAGTAAGGCTGTCAATTTTGGCTGTCTGGTCCTTAATGGTCTCCATTAGGTCTCGAATCTGCCTCGCCTGGTCGTCTATAATCAGATTTAATTTTTCGATCGTTTTCTGCTCCGATGACATCTGCGTCAGTGAGCTCATATTTTCTACTTCTGCTTGGTTTCCGCCACCGCTCAGCTCTTTCCTCATAGTATGTGGAACTGCGTCGTCTGTTGATCCTCCTGGGTCAACTTCCATCTTTTAAAAACTTTTTCTCGCCAACAAATCTCAGAAAACTTATAGCTCGCAAATGTGACAATGTTGTCAAAACCGGGCGTTCTCGGATCGTTTGACGTATATGATAGTAGTGGAAATATGGTGACCCCTGGTTCGTGGCGAAATGAAATCAATGGATATAATGCATGGCAAAATTTGCCTTATGTACCACGAAGATCTCCGCTGAATGCCAGACAAATCAGAGACGAATTTACTTCGTATTTTAGTAGAAATTGCTAAGTTCATGAAAATTAAAAATAAAATTATTATAAATAAATGTGGTTTCATTGATTTAAAATAAACGTTGCTTTTTACTTACAGTTTCGGTATTTATTCCATCAATGCAAGTATATACATACTGGTAGTAAAAAAGACTCCATCATTTCGTAAGCAAACCAAGTTGGTTTATATATGTCTTCACCACCTAAAACAAAAGATAATTTTAAAACTACTTTTAATAATACAAGTAATAAGAGCAAAGTTACACCTTGCTTACTTAATTAAAATAATAAACACTGTACATACCTGCGCCAGAACGAGTAGAATCCTGTTAGTAGATGTCTTATGGGGATTCGATCTCAGTAGTTCCAAAATCCGGCACCAGAGGCGCTGGCGTCGCGCGCCATTGACAGGTTGTTGGACGGAATCTGTAATCGAAATTCATGAGTTGGGGATTCCGCCGCTAGATGGCGCTGTCAAACCAAACGGAATCTGTGTGTCATTGGACACCTGTCATGCGTCATTGGGCATCTCACGCATAGATGGCGTTACACGCCATCTGTCATACGTCATTGGACACCTGTCATTGATGGGTTGAGCATCTCGCGCATAAATGGCGCCGATTTGTTTGGCGGTGTACAAACCTAACGGAATCTATGTGTCATTGGACACCTGTCATTGATGGGTTGAGCATCTCGCGCATAAATGGCGCCGATTTGTTTGGCGGTGTACAAACCAAACGGAATCTATGTGTCATTGGACAGCTGCCATTGATGGGTTGGGCATCTCGCGCATAGATGGCGCCGATGTCGCACCTGTCTGGTGTTGGCGTGGATTACGGGGGGCAACGTGTATACAGGGGTGCATCGAAAAATAGCGGATCGATGGACCGACGGTATATCGTTAAATCGTATATAGCAAGGCGTGACCTAAATAGCGTGGTGGGCTCCTCTGGTCGGTCGGTCGGTCAGAATGTCTCATAACCTGTATACGATGTACTGTTATTATTATACAGGATGATACCGTTCAAAATGAAAATAGTATAGACATTCTGACAATTATTTCGCAAACCAGAGGTATTTTCAATAAAACTACAATAATACGTTTAATATTTTATTGAAAATAGAAAAAACTACATAGGTAATATGATATTTGAAAACCAGTGGCGTAGACGTTCAACATTTCTCTGGGTACAGGAAAATTGTCCGTTGGTGTGGCATGGATTGGAATCAGCAACAAAGTTTCCAGTAGCACACGGTGTACCATCATACTTGCAAACATCAATAATGTTGGGAAAAACACCAAAAATGTGACATTTCTTGAGTAAAAAGTTTGCTTTCTGTTCTCCACGAACGTAGACATAGTCAGCCGCATATATCACCTTATTTTTAATTATTTCATTTAACTTGGAATATTTAACGTCGCCGGAAGAATATTTAAGCCCATGGAAATTCTTCTCCAAGTAAGCGACAGTTTTCTTGTCTTTAGTATTTAATGTAGAAAAAGGTTGCGGAGGTGTAAAGATGTAATGACTTTTCTTGAAACCAATTTCGATACATAGTTCTTTAGGTACGAATAATCCGTCAACTGTAAAGCCTTGAATGTCAACAAACGCGATCCTCATGATGTCTGATGCGGAACTGAGAGTCCTTCGTTGCTTACGAGATGGTTTTAATAACTTCGGTGAGGGGGAAGTACTCGATTAAGCAGTCATGTATAATGATGCAGTAGGCCTTGGTGTTGGTTGGAAAGCCAGTATCGGCTTCGATATCCAATCTAACATCAACAGTTGATGATTTCATGGTTTCCTCTTGTTTGGAACAGTCAATAACAAACAAAGCGCGATTTTTAAAAGCGGTATAATCTAAAAGACATCTCTTCAGAGGAGAAGAAGTTGTATAGCTGGTTTGAAAGTCGCTATAGTTGAAATGAGCTTCAGTAAAGTGATTGTTTGCAAAGTCCAATTGCATACGTTCGTTGGGATAGTATTCACCATTTAAAGATACTCGAATACTAGCAGCATTCACGTGATCAAACAGGGTAGGGTCTGAGGTTGCGACGTCACGTTTACCGGTTTGGAAACATACTATAATGAAACGTGGTCTTTCGATTGCGGTGCTAGTTTTAACTGACCATATTTCTCTTCTCGCATCTGCGGTAATTGCAGGCAGTTCATTCAGATCCCATTTTCTAAATGGTATAAGTATCGGCTTATCAGTTTGAATAGCTTTCAAAAGTTGTTCTTTCACATCATCACTCGGGTAAATATGTTTGATTTTCAGTTCCATGCTTTCAATAGTTATTTTCGCTGTCGTCGTCGTTCCAGTTTTTTCCTTGATAATGATACAATCGTTATCGTTTCTAGCTCTCACAAATCTGAGAGTTTGTCTGCCACACGTAATCATAGGATAATCATTGAAAATGTTGAAAATATGTTTAAGCGGCATTAGCAAGCTAAAAGACTTGTTATGTGTTGACGCCATTATAGGTGTTGAAGGATAGTTCCATCCAGCTATAGCCATATGATTTGAGTCTTCCTCACTGTAACATACGTAAGCTCGGACAGTACTTACAATACCAGGATCACGTACTGTTTCAACTTCTCTAGCGGATTCACTGTAAGTGCAAGAGTCAAATAGGAAGGCACCAAAGTTTGGAGCTAAAGATACATCTCCTGCTCCTCCTCCTCCAGTTATTTCAACTTTCCCTTTGATAGATAGAAGGGAAGCGTTCATTGCAAAGAACGAATCTACTTGATTGATGCTAAATTCCACAACATCATTACAATTAAATGACTTGATGAACGGCGTATAAGATCTATACTCAGCCTTGCGAATAGATTCATCGAATGCTGGAGATCGATATAGATCAAACATCGGAGAAGTATGTGATGCTGCTGCTGCTGCCTCCTCAGTTTTTCTCTTTTTGTACATGATTCTTGTTGTTGTTGACATGATATCCAAGTGAGCGTAGAAACAGGATATTTGATGTAGTTAGTAGTAGATGTCGTCGCTTAGGTGCTTGGGGTAATACTGAAGTTGACTTGGAAGCACCACTATGTCTTATAATCACTAATCCCATCTGCGCTTCGCTCTCAACTCCAACACAAGAGTACTAGTTTCACCTTGAAAGTTTACAGGACGACCGTCTTGATCTAAAGCCAACACTGTGATGTTGGTTATTTCTTGTTTCGGTATAACAGGTAGATATAGTAAATTTACAGGTGTTTCGACTATAGCGTGTCCAGGATCGGCTGTCACAGCAAATTCGTAGATCGTGTGTGCAGGCGTGTCTCCGTCTAAGGCTCCCGACGTAATGTTAGCATCAAAGTGTATGGTTGATACTTTTATTATGTTTACAGGTAAATCAGAAGAATGCTTTTGACCAGGATTAAGAACTTTTTTCGAGAATCCCAATAGATGTCCAAGATTATTCGGTTCTGTAAAAACTATTTTATAATACTTGCTAAAGATTTCACATTGCAGTGTATTATTGTTAGGTTTTAGAGAAAAATAATCATCCGGAGGAGCAACTTCATTTTCAAGATTCATTTGCGTTCGTATAAATGTTTCTATGTCGGTAATTTCATAACAACCTGTCGGAAACTCGATGACTTTTAATTGACCACCACCACCTATCCGGTCGATATAATAAAATTTATCTCCTTTTTCAATATTCGGTATGGAATTGTATGAAGTAAAAGACCTAAGCGCCAATTCATAATCTTTTTTCGGATCCAACACTATCGGTGTTGAAGGACGAAATGAAAATATATGAGTAGTGCTATTGACTCTCAACAACTGCGACATGATGAATGAAAAAATATAGCTGTGTACTAAGCATTTATTCAAGTTTTTTTTTTGTTTATTTTCGAATGGATAATTTACAGAAATAACAATTTGCTTGAGCAGTAGCCGGTCCATCCCAATGTGTTGCCCAATCAGGTCTGTTGTAGTGAACATAGCATGGAAGTCGTATTTGAAGATCAAAATGGGATGTGTATTCTGCAGGCAGTTTGTGCCATATACTCAACAATTCTGCAGGTCTCACATTGCTTATTAAATATTCCAGCGGCGGAATATTCTTCTCAAACTCTTCTAATGTAAATTCCGATAATGTTTTATTATCCATCGTTGTTGTTGTTGTTATTGTTATTGTATAGAAATTTCAAACACAATTGTCCGCAATTAACTTGATTATAAGTTTGGTAAGGATCGTTGTTGTAGAAAATTTTAGCGTTTTTCAGATATCGAACAAGTTCCTGTGGAGGCTTCAGGTTACCAAATGAATCGAAATACTCAACGTTGTTGTTTATCTTTTTATAAGCTACCCAATGAGTTCCGTTGTTTTGTGAAATATCTAAGTTCACGACGGCGCATTCTCTTTTACGTGGACCGTCTCGTGGTAAAGTGTCACGCATGAAGACACCTCGGAAATGAGGTATGTTCAAGAGCTTCGCATATTGCTTTATTTCATAATCATAAAGCGCTTTCTTGGGTAGCTTGATGTTTAGTTTTTTTGACTTTTTTTTTTGAGGTACAACCCATAACCACCTTTAGTATTTTTTCTCAAATACAATCCTTTGCCCAAAGACTCCATAGCTTTGTTATGGCGATGGTCTTCCTCCAATTTCTTTTGTGCATTCTTGGCATCAACGACCGTTTTGGCCACACCTGCAGCTCCCCCTGCGAGCGCCCCCAAGGCACTTAATCCGGCGAAAAGGGGGATCAAGGGTAGGAATCCCCCAGATTTTCCTTCGATCGGAATTATTCTCGGTAGTCGAACTTTATGTTTTCCACCTGCACTCTTCACCGCTAATCTTGCCGCTTTAAGAGCAACCAATGCAGACTTTTTTAATGTCGTGGTGGTGGGAGCATTTTTCTTCAAGGACTTTGTGATTTTCGTGAGAACACCTCGTCGAAAAGATGATTTCTTCTGCCCCATACCCAATTTTCGCTTAACTTTCATTGCGGTAGTTGTTAGCCAAGCTGCAGTCTTTTCTCCTAGTGAAGCGTCAGGTGCTTTTACACGTTCCCAGGCTCGGTTCTCAAGAATCCAATCAGCTTTGTGTCTGTCTTTCAAATTTTTGTATAAGGCGTATGCAATATCGTGGTCTCTTGCAGCACGATCCAATGGGTTCTTTCCAGGATCTCCTCGTGCTAACCTCTTCTTTAATTTAGTCCCCGCTGAAAATATACATATACA